TGTATAAAGGTCTATAGGTGAACAACCTTGCAGATGCCCTATCTACCGATCTATGACTTCATTTGATAAATTCATGGCATAAATCAATATAAATCAATAGGTTCATGTCTTACTGAGTAGACCATGTTCATTCTTATGCTCCCTTTACAGTAAACAAAAGAACAATAAATGGTAAATGGCCTGTATTTATATAGCGCTTTACTAGTCCCTAAGGACCCCAAAGCGCTTTACACATCCAGTCACCCACCCATTCACACACTGGTGATGGCAAGCTACATTGTAGCCACAGCCTGGGGCGCACTGACAGAGGCGAGGCTGCCGGACACTGGCGCCACCGGGCCTTCTGACCATCACCAGTAGGAAACGGGTCAAATGTCTTGCTCAAGGACACAACGATTGAGACTGTCGGAGCCGGGGCTCGAACCGGCAACCTTTCGATTACAAGCCGAACTCCCAACTCTTGAGCCACGATCGCCCCACGATCACCCCATGATCGCGAAATAAAGATGGGTATGGTCAGCTTGGGGTTCCAGATAAGACTTCACTGAGCTTCATGGTGGTCAAATTGGCTTTTAAATACAGTCTGTATTCTTATATCTGTTTATAAAATTATTCATACGTAGGCAGCAGTGTAATGCTCCGTTTTAGTTTCATCTATAAAAATTCATATTTGCAAGTAAGATGGATAAAATGCTGTATAAATGTTGATTCTGCAAAGTAAGCATTAACAGTGGATACACAATTTAGTAAAGAAAAATGAAACAGCACCTCATGTCACTTTAAAGGCAGATGATATTTAGAAAGTGCAGCACGAGCTCTACAGTTCTTTTTCCACTGAATGTAACTGGAGCAAACTAGTTTCAAACCCATCGGAAGCTGGAGACAGGAAAATCCTGGAAACATCCATTTTATTCCACAAGCACATACTGCATCTCCAGGTTGTCTCTTTTTTTCCTGCACAATATTGATCCCTTCAACAAAGAGAAATTCTTGACTGCTTACTGAAGCAGAAACATATATTTCCATTTGGGCGCATTACTGTTGCTCGTGCACATGTGCTCCAACCAGCATCCAGAGTTCTGCACGTGTGATTTTGTGTTCAATCACTTTCTCATTCCTGCACATTCAAATCCCAAATCTGCCACAGGAGGCAAGAGTAGAAGTTGAAAAAGAGGATATGTAATTGTATAACTACGCAGCATTTTAGCCCTCTTCAGTGGCGTTACATCAAATAACTTCCCTCTGACCGATCTTTTTGGCACTCTTTTCAGGACCCCTGAGAGAACCAGAACAGGTGTCTCCAGAAAACCTCCCAGTGTTTCACTGACAGTCGGATGTGTGGATGTGTCAGGTGGGGCCCGCAGTTACTTTGACCCATGCTAGAAGCCAAGGCCCTTGAGAAACCGACGCTGCATGCATCAGGATCTCATTACTGGCTTACTGTGCATATACACTGTCAAATAGGGCTTAGACCTCAGGCTATGTTGTCATTTTATCTGAACTGTATTTTTCCCCTCTATATATTCAAGAGCTTAAAACATTCATTTAGAAAACCTGATCCCATTATCTTTTTTCATGAGATTCCAACATGTAGACATCCACAGCTGCTCATCAAATTTAGCACCTTATTTACTAAATGTCCGCAGCTTTTTCCAAGTCAAGGTTTTTCATGATTGTTCTGCCGGGGCAACTCTTTTGACTGAGACTCGTCACGCAGCTGTTTACTGTGCTCGGAAAAGCGCTACACTGTTTTCGTTCGACTTTCAAAGCAGTTTGTACCATCATGTGCACATCAAGTTACCAAGTTACTGCACAATCATAAATAAATTCACTGCATTAAAAGGAAGAAGCGGCTTCTCATACCGAGACCCAACACCGCTGGATGGATGAGAAACATATGATGATAGAACTATTACCTTAAAGAGTTACGCAAAGTGGTTGAATGAGCGTCAATTTGTCGAAGCCAGTCACAGCCTGTTGACGCAAAACGGTTCATAAATCACACAATCGCAGCGATTTCACCTAATCCTCGCTGCATTCTTCATACAGCATGCTCATCCAAATTGCCCCACGCTGCCAAAAGTAAAGATCGTCCTGGCTACAAACTTTTGGCTTTGGCCAGCTGCATCAACCTGATTCACTCTTGACTGAAATATTTCAGCTGCGTCTGATTTTTACGAGTGTAATCAATTAGTTTCCCCAAATAAACAAAAAAAGGGGAAATAAAGTTGCAGGCTATTTAAAAATTATTCCGCATTCCTAATAGGGTGACAACAGAGATTTTCAAGATTAAAGTTGATGTTTTGTGGTAAGTTGGCCAGCTTTCTCACATGTCAAGGACGCATGTAGTCCAGCTTCATTACATCTGCTCTTTGGTTTAATCTTGTAGGGAAGCTTTTTTTCCCCCTACAAAGATTATTTTTATAGCCTCTCTGCTTGATTTAACAGTGGGCAATAAATAAGAGAAAGGAGATGTCATGCAAAAAACGTCAAGAGCTGCACTCAAACTCTCAGCATTGCTCTTGTATGGTCTCCAGTTGCCTGATGTACCAAGAAGGGGCCAAAGGAGGGCAACGTTTAACAGCAACATATAACTCAGTGAATGAAAGCTGACATCTCTTGGAATGGGCAAACTTGTTGTGGTTCGGTAGCCCCGCATCACTTCTTCAAAACCAGTTCACTTTTCTCCTGAGAAATGGGAAGACACACACTCTCACACACATACACACTTCCTGGCTGCCTACTTTGGATGAGATGCACTCTGATAGATAGCGTTTTTTGGTTTAGCAGCAAATTTCAAGGCACGTTTTCACCCCAATGCAGAGTGATTCTCATGTATTTGCCTCTTGCAAGCTGATTTGGTTTTATCCTGCAGTGTTTCTGCTAAGATGGGTGAACCGTTATTTTAGTTTATTTTGATTCGACCGAGGCATCCAAAATGTCTGTCACTGTGAAATAATTAGTTGAAGTGTGCTGTTATTAAGTCCCCATATACTCAGAAATATGTTTTGTCTATTTTTACTTCGCTGCCATGTTTCACCTTCACTGCACATAATGATTTTTTCTCAGACTCTCTCTGCAGAGCTTAAACCCGAGTTTAACACACACATATGGAAGAAGGATTTTTATGGAAACACAAAATGACTGGAAATTAGTCCAATGTGCTGCTTGTGGTGAAATCTGAGAAAAGCATTTCAAGAAAGTGGGAAAAAATCTCAATAATTGTTGCTTATGAGTATTTTAAATATGTAGTAGTGCAGACTAAGATTCTGAGATGCTTTGCCTCATAATTTCTGTGGTTACAAAGTGGCCTGCGTATCCTAGACTTCCCTACAGCCCCTTTGCTCGGCTTGTGTTTAGCATTTGACATGCCATGTGGATCTGATGCATTATAGGACCTTAAAATGAGAGCCAGAAACACCTCATCAACCCACTAGGTCGGACTGTAATAAAACACCATCAGTCTTCTTACCGAAGCTTTGGGTTACAAAAGAAAAAAATAGAAAAAAGAAATGTATGTTTGTTGGCTTGATGGGTCCATTAAGGATGGCATATCACACTTTTGCAGATTAAATAGAAAACAGATTTGGTATTTATAGCATAGGGAATGACAGGACTATCTATCCTGAGACACTTTTCTTTTCTAATGGAGTCGTGTTTAGTGAATCTTTACTACCCTCTGGTGTCAGCAAGTGGTATTACGTATGTACGTGTATGACGTATTCTTTTTGCGTTTTCCACATTCCAGCTAATCAACAGATGCAAGGATACTGATGGTTACACCCATTTAAGGAGGATGTACACTGTATCACAAGATACAATAAGATAGTTGATCAAACTGTTCACTAACTCATCTACACAAAGGATTTTGTAGAGGGTGCAGGAGCTGTGGCAGTTGTTGGAGGCAGTTGTTTCACTTAAAACGACAACTTTAATTGCTACATTTTGACTTTACTCTCAAATAGTGCTTTGAGTTTAATCTAAAAATTTCTGTGCTGTGCACAGCAACGGGGGAACTGTAGCTGAACTGAGCAGAGAGTCCAGAGTTTGGAGAACTAATACAAGCAGGGTGAAAGAGTTAAATCTAAAGTATATTAGCTGAATCAAATGGGTTTCAGGCAGAGGAGCAGAGCTGAGACAGAGCAGAAGTAGTGGTTGGGTGGAGTGGTGGAGTTGAGGCAGTTGTGGACAAGATGTTAAACTTTTTTCTTCTGCTCAAATTTAGTTTTTTAAGGGGGCTGGAGCCCTGCTGCCACGGGTGACAGGGCAAGGTTCACCATGGACAGGTCTCCAATCCGTCGCAGCCAACCTGTGCTTAAACTGCCTATGTATATCAGATTGATAGCAGACTTACTTCGTATGATAGGAAAATTTATGGCAGGTTTTAGGTACAATGTTGGTATGCCTGACAGTCTCATTTTGCAACAGAAAAATAAAGTGAGATAACTTTATCTTACTGGATAAAACAGACACTGACAAAGTCTAACTTTGCAGATATAATAGTTAAAGAAGGAGATAAATTGCAATATAGTTTAATAACTGTTAAAGTTGGATGCAAACCCAGAACCACATGTGCTACTTTTACGATAATAAATTTACTAAAATATAATATTTAATTAAAGTCATTAAAATGTATTTATTATGTTTTCATCAGTGTTGACATACATTTTAAACAGTTGTTCTGTTTTGTTCATAAAAATGTGATATATTTTACCTTTGTGACCTGTAATTAAATGATATAAATAATTTCTAAAACTAATAAAATCCCTTAAATTTGACAGTTAATGAGTCCAGATATTTATTCACTGCATTTATTTTAAGATCGATTGCTCCTTTAAGTAAACTTTTTTCTTCTACGTACATACACTGCATTACCAGCAGGGGGAGCTGGCCGCATGCACTCCATTAGCTAGTGGCAACGAAAGTGATTTCAGCCAATTACATTCAAGGGACGCCCACTCTGTGTGCTGCTAAATGCTACATTAAAAGACACGAGGACGCCTCGCCGTCGTTACTACTCTTACCCACCCAAATCGAAACAAGGAAGCGACTTACGACGTTTCTTGGGTTTTAGAAGAATTTATTACGTGTATGACGAAGGCGTTGCGCCGCCCGTGCCTCCCACGCGCTTCCCGCTTTACCTGTGACCAAATTTGGCATCGGAGCTGGAAGGGAAAAGAAGAGGTCTCACTCAGCCCGAGTTTGTGAGACCAACAACAAAAAAGAGTGTAACCGCACCAGGAAATGTTGGGATATAGTATAACTTTCTGTTAAAAACATTTTGTTTTTTAAAGATTATGTCAGACATAATAACTATATGAGAAGAAAAAGTCTATTATTACTACGTCATATGTGTCGTTGTATTAGTCATATGTTCCACTTCATTATGTAGAGAAAATCCTGTGTTTTTATTGGGCCAACAAAGAATAGACGATCTTCGCGCGAGGCTGTTTCTAGAAGGTGGCGCAGGTTCACACATGTCTTCATCCCGCGATCCAGGTTTGGCCGGCGGATGGGTGTGGTTCCTCATGCTGAGGGAAGTTTCATCAGATGGTCGGGTTGGTGCATAGTTCTAGGCCTGCGCACTAACAGCTGAAGGACGAGTGACATCGCGAACTAGAGGTGCCATGGACGCGTAGTGGGATAGTGGTGTTTGGTTGTCTTTTAAATTTGTTCATTTACACTGTTTGGAAAGGTAGAAAGGTGTCTGAGGCAGGAACATTGGGCGCTAATACAGAATCAAGGTAAGTGTCACGTGTTTGCAGGTGTGTGGGTTTTGTGTTTAAGCAGTTTGGTCATTTTCCAGTCTTAGAGTGTTTCTCTGTGGTCTGAAACAGCCGTTAACCTAACAGTTTGCGTAAGGAAAACTCAGTAAACACAGAGATGGCCGTTGTGGGATTGACTATGAATAGTTGGTGATACGGTTTTCCCTGTTCCTGAAAAGGTCATGTGTTGTTAGGAGCAAACACTTGCCCTCTGATTGGCTGTTTGGCTCTGGAATGCATCTCAAAGACACTATTCAGAGGGGAGGGGAGTAAAAACGTTCAAAGAAATCCTTTATGTCAGACTCGATCCATGTTTTAAAAACTCTGAAAACAGTTTTGATCACAGCCTGGCTTTGTGTGGAACAAATTAATAATAGTATATAACATATTTTGCTTCTTTGTATTTTATATCCTGGTTGCTTGTGCCTCAAAGGTGGAGAATGTACATATTATTCTTTATTATTGTTTTTCAAACGTTTTAAAACAGGAACTATTAGAAAGAAAGAGTTGGGAAATAGGCTAATATACCGAATCATGTGTCTTATGTATGGAAAGACAGTATATGAGACAAAAACACAAGTTGATAATTGGTATGATCATCTTTACTCTTCAACACAGCGTGAACGCTTTTATGAAAGATTTCTTGTATTTTATTAAGCAGTCTTCAGGAATAGTTCTTCAGAGTTCTTGAAGGGCATCCAAAGCTCTCTTTTTTTGGATGTTGGCTGCCTTTTGTTACATTTTCAGTCAGGATGATCTCACGCTGCTTCAGTGTCGAGGTCCAGCCTCTGGGGAGATCAGTCTCTTGATCGAAGCTGCTGTCATTTAGAAACTTCCCAGATGGTACTTTGTTGTGGATCAAAGTCTGATGCCACTTTTTTGTCTTTATAATTCAAGTCATTCCTACACCACTGTCGGAAATGCAGCCCCAGACCATGACAGAGCCTCTGCCATGTTTCGCAGATAGCTGTTGATACTCCCGGTTGTACATCTGTCTACTGATCACTGAAGCCTCATGAAAAGATCTCAGTTAAAGGGTGGCTTTCATTCTTAAGGAAACAGGGAGAAAAGGACTATAATGTGGATTGGACTGAAAGAAATATGGCCCGATGGCATGATGAATCCAGATTTGAAAATTTTGGTTCAAATCGTTGTCAGTTGAGGAAGGCCCACATGCATCTCTCAGGTCCTGTGTCTGGTCATTTATCTTTTGTTTGTTTTTTTTTAAAATATTTCTCAAGGACACAATTTTCGAGTGCTGTCACTGTTTGCTATAAATGGTTTTTTTAGTCCTGTCATTACTTCTTTTGTCCTACACTCGTCCAGTTTCCTCATTTGTTTGTTGATTCTTTTTTCCCCTCCTTGATGGTGCAAAGATACTGTTTTTATCCCTGTCAAACGGTGTTATCTTTGACATGTTTCATAGTTTCAACAAAAGAAATGGGGACACATTATGTGTGTTTGCAACAGGCTGCTAGAATCAGAGAGACACGGCACTGGTTCTAGAGTTGGATCCTTTTTTTAGTGGCTTGACAAGCAAAAAAACGGAAGAACGCTTATTTTAAAGTGGTCATGTACAAGGACTGAAAAGCCTGGTGAATTGTTGCTCAAAGCTTCTTTTTAAAATATAAAAAGGTCGGGCTACTTGCAAAGTATAAAAAAATGAGGTTGGTTCCAGACTTTAGGACAGTACAGTACTGTACATAGTTTCTCTACCTTTGAGACACAAGCAATCAGAAGCCAACAAAAAAAAGAGATGATTTTATTTTATTGTTGTTACCTGATGTAATTAAATGTGTCTTATGAACTTTTACAGAACATGGGGCTTCTTCAGCTGCTAAAATCCCAGTTCTTGTGCCACCTGATCATCTGCTATGTCTTCCTGGTCAGCGGCCTTATTATCAACCTGTTGCAGCTTTGTACTTTACCTGTGTGGCTGGTCAGTAAGCAGCTGGCCCGCAGAATCAACATCAGACTGGCCTACTGCATCTCCAGCCGTATGTATAACCTTAGCTGTACCATTACAACCTGGCTGTTTCCCAGAAGCAGAAAAGTTTCTTCTTCTGCTTCTGGGAAGAAGAAACTTTTATTTTCAGTGGTTTCAGTGGTGGTGTTGGTGTGATGTTGTGATAACCCTCTGCTGCACGAGTTCCCAGAACTCTGTACTGCATGGCATCGTTTCACAAAAGCAATCCAGGTGCCCTTTACTCACATGTACCTGTTTGCGTCTTTGTCCTTAGAGATGGTTGCTATCTTGGAGTGGTGGTCTGGGACAGAGTGCACACTCTACACTGACCCAAAGAGTTATCCACTGTATGGAGAAGAAAATGCCATTGTGGTTCTCAACCACGCTTTCGAGATAGACTTCCTGTGTGGTTGGACCTTCTGTGAGAGATTTGGAGTTCTTGGGGTAAGTGAAAGTAACCCAGAAAACTTCACCCACCCTTCAATTCAATGCTTCGCTCCAGTTCTTTCAATGTGTTCTCAACTTCCAGAGCTCAAAAGTGTTAGCCAAAAAACAGCTGGCTTATGTGCCGATCATCGGCTGGATGTGGTACTTCTTGGAGATAGTTTTCTGCAAAAGAAAATGGGAGGAAGATCGAAGGACGGTGAATGAGAGTCTTGAGAAACTGCGGGATTACCCAGAAAACTTCTGGGTGGGTTTCAGTCTGTGGTAATTTTAGAATCAAGAGAAGTGAGAGTGATATTTTTGTGGCCATAATTATAATATAATTATATAACACCCAACTTTTTTTTTTTCTTTTTTGTCAAAAGTTCTTGCTTTATTGCGAAGGGACACGCTTCACACCAGAGAAGCACCAGGTCAGCATGCAGGTGGCTGAAAGCAAAGGGTTGCCCAAACTAAAGTATCATCTTTTGCCCAGAACCAAAGGATTCTGGGTAACAGTTCAGAGCCTCAGAGGGACGGGTGAGTGTCTCTTTGTCTATGTATTTAAATGTGGCCACCCGATCAGTTTTATGGGGCGAGGGGGTGGATTTGCAAATCAAATGAAAAGTGGCGCTGACTAACCGCCGCATGTTCCATGTTGTGCAGCTGCGGCTGTTTACGATTCCACGCTGAACTTCAGAAACAATGAAATGCCGACTTTGCTGGGGCTTCTTAACGGGAAAAAATATCACGCAGATTTATATGTGAGGTAGGAACTGATGTTTGACACACTTGTTGCTTTTCATTTCCTGTGTGCTGGTGTAACCTTCATCTCTGTGACATGCAGGAGAATTCCTCTAGAGTTGATCCCAGAAGATGAGAAGGAGTGTGCTGAGTGGCTCCACAAACTTTACCAGGAGAAGGTGAGAGTCTTAAATATTCTGATGGATGCATGATTTCCAAAAGAGACTCATTAGGTAGAGGTACTAAATCACCCAGTTTCTTATTACTGAAATAGAAGCCATACTGATTAAATATGTAGCCTAAAATAAGTGCCTCTTCTTTTTTTTTCCCCCCTGAAGGCTGATGCACTGTTTCACACTGAATAGTAGTACTATAAATAAATGGGTGGCTCCATCCTCTTGTAGGGGTATTTTTGGTGCTGCAGGAACTGGTAAACAGTGTCTTTGAAATTTTTGATCCAGCCACTGATCTTGCAGATATGCCCAGAGAGCCAAAACCTGGATCTGGAATCATCTCGGATTTGAATTCCACATGAAAACATAAAGATTTTGGTGTAATTTAAAGAAAGCAGCTCCAGCAGAGAACACAAACAATATTAAAAAGCTGGAAGCTTTTGCACTTGAGTGAAAGATTAATGTGAGGAAACATTTATTGCTCACCACAAATGGCATTAGTGGTAAAAAATTAACTTTGAGGGTAGGAACAGTTTGGCTCGCGGACCTTTTTATGGAGATAGAGTCAATGTCATTTAACAAATTGACCTATTATTATACACAGTTTTGAAGGTGTGGTGAGCTTATCTGTGTTTTTGGCTGACGGCCATGCCACCTTTTAATTACTTTTCAATCCATGCACTTTATAACTGAACTCTTGAATCTGAACTTGGGAATGTTAAACTTTGTACACATTTGGTTCCATTTTAGCTCTTACTGTTTTTTTTAGACACACGGCAGCCACGTGGCTTTAAAAGAACCAACTTTAGCCGTGCTTCCCTGTTGTGGGTTTTGGTATTGAGCTGCCATTGCATTAATTTGTTAACAGGATAGCTTTCAAGAGCACTACGCAAAGACTGGGCGCTTCCCGGGCCCCATAATGAGTCCTCCTCGTCGACCATGGTCCTTGATCAACTGGCTATTCTGGTCCTGCCTGCTCCTGTACCCTCTAGGCCTGCTGCTCACTCAGCTGATCAGCTCTGGATCAGTATTTACCATCGTAGCTTCCGTGGCTGTCTGCTCTGCAGGTTTGTGTCATCCATTCACAGGCAAGGTCAAGCCACCCTAATATGGCCTAATACGGCCCATCCCTCACTTTAACCAGCTCCTTTTTGTCCAAATGTTACATAAAGCAGCAGATTTGACACCTCCAATGTAAGTCTCCCTCTTTTATGTTATTAATTTATCAGTATTGGGAGCATGTCCATAACAGCATTCAGGCATGTGCTTAAAATATCAAAGTTAGATATCAAGTCATCCACCTGATTCTTTTTATTATTATTATTATTTCACCGGTTTCACTGTTAAATGGAATTAATCACTCTAACAGCACGGGCATGTTGCAGTTTCCACAATAAATAAGAGGCCTTGATACAGACTTGGAGGAGATGGCTTAGGTGTTATCAGTTATTTAAAAGAGCCAGTTAATGTGCAGCTAAATGTTAACAGTTGTAACACCTTGCTTCTCATTTCAAAGTGACGTATTCAGCCACGTCACTAAATTGTCATAATAAAAACGCTTGATAATTAAAGAGCATATGCACCACATTCAAAGTCAAATTTACTGTGGAAATAAAAATGTCCCATTTCAAAACCTGTCAGCACTTCTTTGTGACTCACTCAAACAATGCTGTAGCTTCTCTGAATCCTGTGGTGATTTTTTTTTTTTCTTTTCTTCCCACAGCTTCACTGGGAGTTCGCTGGATGATTGGCCAGACTGAGATAAAAAGAGCCTCAAACTATGGGAATAAGGAGGTTTCTCTAAACAACAACTAGTGGATTCTGGAAACTGCCTCTTTTTATTGCAGAGCTACTAATCTGCAAACTGCCGTCAGGAAAACTTGTGCCAACACAGTCCTGCCAGACTGCCATTTACAAGTGCAGACCTGCTTCAAAGCAAGCGCAGACAGAATAGTTTTACACTAACGCTATGCTGCGAAAGGCTGGAGACTTAGTAAGCAGGTTAAACGAAGGAGTGCTAAGATGAAATGCAGATTAAAATCAGAGTATATTTGAGAACAGCCAAGACCAACATTTGCTATAGAAACAAATTTAATTCAACCAAAAGGCAAGTGGACTACCTCTATGATTGCACTGTAATGCACAGATGACATTTAGGAGGTGAGAGAAAATAAAAATTTTGCACAAAAAAGTGGCCTTTGTTGTTGTTTGTACTTAAAAAAAAAAAAAAAGTAGTGAATGAATGTTATGACGAAGATCAGGGCCTTTTTTTTTCTGCTCAAATTTGGCCACAATCCAGACTGCACTACACTGGACGTAATGTAGAAACTCGTAGTCAGTTTATATTCTTCAGGTAATGAGTGAGATTGACCAGCTAAATTACATCTAATCTACACGTGTGGCTTTCTTTTTTTGTAAATAAATCAGTAAGTGAACCGATGTGCCGCACGGTTCCATAAATATAGTCCGTCTGTTTATATGTTGGCAGTAAAAACAAAAGTTCCAGTAACTTTTTGTTGACATTCATTGTCTTTCCATCTACGGCTGTGTGACAAAGTAATTGAAGTTGGTGCGATTTGCATGGTCTGAGAGGACAAAGCTCAAACTCCATGTGTCTCCTGTTTGCCCACGACCATCATCCTTAGCGCTTGTCCTGACCTTTCATTCGGCGTATGCTGATAAAGAATGAGAAAAGGGTAAACCACAGAGACACCTGGTGGTAACACGCCAGCAGGACGCAAGCTAAAATTTCTTACCTGCTGATCCTGATGTCCTCAGGTGCTGGTTTAATGTAAATAAATAAACAGTGAATCAATATCTTCAATAACAGAATTAAAAATATTAATAGGGAGGCTGATGCTGAACGCCTCAATTTAGACATATATGAGAAAGAAGTGTATCAATAAGTTTGGATACAAACTCAAAGCTCAAGCCTCATATTAGCTGATGTTATGAAAGATGGTATCTCTGCACAGCTCCATCAACTTTATTTTTGGGAAAAGTGACCTACATGTGTAGGCAATGGTTAAATTAATAAATCAGTATGAATAATTTTATACAGGAAATGGTAACTAAAAATCAAAACAAAAGATGAGTAAACCTCTTGACCTTTGAGAAAAAATCACTTAAAAAATTACTAAATTTGAGCCACTTGAAGCACATTAACACATGAGCTCTGTATGCATCACAGGTCTTTTAAAGTTCATACATTTGCAGGTCAGGCCTCTGAACGTTTTCCAATGCAAACAAACGTGCCCACAGTCCAGTAGTGATTCATCATAATGTAAACCCATTTTCCATTTACACAATATAAAACATGTAGTTAAACTCTCAAAATCTAACCTTAACCTGGAGGAAATTCTCAGAACATTTCACAGCATAGATATAGGTTGTTTTCTGATTAACTCTTAATCAAAAGATAAGATATGAAACCCTGGTCAAGTGCATAAAACAGAAATCTCTCACACAAAGTAAAAAGCCTTAGAGAACTCCTCATTTCTGTATATTTAACTAAAAAAATTAGGACTGTGTGCAGCACTGTACTGAATCATTTTCCAACATTTGTGGAAACACAGTATAAAAGGCAAAAACAGAGTTTGTACAATTCCAGCAAGCAGGAAAGTCAATATTTGGCATTACTGCCTTTATTCTTAAACACGGCCTGAACTCTCTTATGCAAGCTTTCTTCTAATTTCTTTAAGCACTCTTCAGGAATAGTTCTCCAGGCTTCTTGAAGCTCATCTTTGGATGTTTCTGCCTTTTGTTCAGTTATGTGTTAAGACCATCGCACACTGGTTCATTAATATTAAGGTCCGTTCACCACTGACTTTCACAATTACAGTGTTACACAAGAACTGCTGTTGTGTAACTTGACACAACAACCATATTATTTTTTTCTTTTGAGAAACTGTAAACTGTAAATTATTGAATTTCTGTCTTATTTTTAAGGACATGAGAAACTGTCCATCTGCTGCAGATAATTTATTTCAGAACTAAAATGTCTTCTTTTGTTCTCCAATGTGCATGATATGCCAGTGTTAAATGGCTTAATAAACAAGCAAACAAACAAAAAGCATTCTTGTGGAAATGGTCAGGACCAGGAACTGGACTGAAAATGAGTGAAAAAGAAGCCAATGTCCGAAGAGAAACTTTGGACATTTGGAAACCTGGAGAACTATTGCTCAAAACCACAAAAAAGAGCCTGGCTTCTTGCAACCAAAACAAAAAGAAATGAGTAGTGACTCACAACAAATGGTGTCAGATTTGTCCTTTCTTCGAGTTTAATCTGTAGCTTTATGTCATAGTGGCCTGAGGTGCTGTCACACCTTATGAAAGCACTAGCCTTGAGCTGATAATGCTGTGCCTCGCCCATCAGTTCAGGCGTGTGACATGAAGACGTGGCTGTGTTTTACAGCTTTGATTCGTGCAGTAAAGCACAATAGACCTACTGCAGCTGCTAAAATCCCTCTTCCTGTGCAGTATAATCAGCATCAGAATGGCCTATTGCATCACAAGCTGTGTACACTAATGCCATTCTCAGCTACACAGATCACACTTGGATGTTAGGTGTTGTTGCTTAAAGGAAGACTTGTGTAATTTTATCTTGTTGCAGTAAACACGTCCAAAAACAGTTTTGCATCCAAAGACATCAGTTTGCATAACACATGACACCAGTTAAACGACTTTAACAGCAGTACTCTAAAATAAAACCTTTAAAGTGATAGCAGGATTTCCAGCTTAGTGGTGGTTCATTTCAGAATGTTCACTATTCCCAGATTGTTTATGGAAATTCCTGTGAATATCGTCACAGGTCTTTGAGCAGAAAATGCTAGCTGTATATGTAAATCAAATGAATTTAACAAATGGTACTTCCAGTTGTGGTCAGAAATTTATGTGCACTTGTCATGGGCATGAATGTCATGGTAATTTGGGGTTTTTGATGATTTCTTTGAACTTTTATTTTTCCAGAAGTCAGGAAGCTCTTTCAGAGACATTTCTAAACAACTGCAGATTCCAAAATCATCAGTTCAAATAATCCTGCATAAGTAAAAGTTATGCAGATGTGTCACAACTTTGTCATGGTCTGGAAGAAACTGTTACCCTTAGAGAAGAGAGAGGAAATTGGTTAGGAAAGTTCAAGCGCGCCATGAAATAGAAACGTGTAGAATGGCACCAGTCACTGTCCAAAATGAAGCAAGTTTTACATAACTGTGGTCTGAGAGGGTGTTTCAAGAAAGAAACCCCTGCTCCAAAATAGACAGATTCAAGCGCAACTGAAATTTGCAGCTGCCCACATGGAGAAACCAAATGTTTGCTGGAGGACCGTTTTATGGTGAGATGAGACAAAGATTATGCTGTTTGGCCACAATGATGAGGCATGTTTGGAGTGAGGCTATCAAACCTAAGAACAATGTGCCAGATGTCAAGCATGGCAGTAGTAGCATCATGCTCCGGGACTGTTTTGCTGGCACTGGTGAAGTGGATGAAATAATAAAGAAAGAGGAGTGCCTCCAAATTCACCTCAAATCAAAAGCCACATAACTAAAACTGGGACACAGTTGAGTGTTCCAGCAGGGCAATTATCCCAAACACACATCAAAACTGGTTTTGGAGTGGAGAAAGCAGGCTAAAATTAAGCTTCAGGAGTGGACTCCCAAAGCCCTAAAATCCTATTGAAAATTCTTTTGACTATGAACTAACTTCAAAGTTGGGCCCGTGCCAGGAAACCAACAAGTTTAAATAAAATTTAGGGATTCTGCCAAAAGGAGTGGTCAAATATGCAACCAAAATCATGCCAGAAGCTTGTTGATTGCTACCAAAAGCCATACTAAGTTGGTTGAGATCCAACTTAGTATGGGACATTTTAACCACACTTCTGTGCGGGTCTATGTATATATTTGACCCTGTGTGGATTATGGCCAACCTAAAATAATGCATTTTAATTCTCATTTTCTAAAGTCATTAAAGATCTATCATTCCACCCTGGAAAAGAACAGTTCAAAGAAACCATTAAAAATCCGAAATTACAACATTCCCATGATGAGCGTATGTAAACTTCTGACCACTTCTGTAGCTGCTGCTGTCTTCGCTTGGGGGGCTACATCTGTTTGCAATTGCGTGCTAAACATCTGAATCAAAAGATGGCTCATTGGGGTAAAATACAGCAAACACTATCATACAGAAAATAAGACCAGCGAATTAAGGTCTATTCTTATCTGTTTATCTTATTTATTCACGTGAAATGTAGTTTTCTAATGTCATTAGCTTGAGGAAACACAGAGTATTTATTGTAAATGCAAGGTCAAGGACACATTAAACTGATGGGTTATTAAGAGTTGATACAGGCACAGACATAACTGGGTTCTTGGCGCTATATTTTCTTCATGTATTGTAGGAAAAATTCACATAAAGAAATTTACTGTGGGAAACGTCCCGTGCAAAACTGTCCTCCCTTCATTCTGATTTGCTCATGTGAAATTCTAAATATACTCTCAGCTCCCCTGGAAGTTTGACTGAGACTGGCAGAGGCACTTTGGTAATACAAAGTTCAACACTTTCCTCCAACTCAGAGATGATTTTACATTAACAGCTACCAGTTTCACCACTTGTGTTTTTCTTGGCACTGGTCTTCAGATGTTGAAAATGTAAGAAGAAGAAAAAGCACAGAGCTGTTTTGCTATGGATCAAAGATTGCATTATGAAATACACTCACGGTTCCACTGCTTGTTCACCAGTCACATGGCAACAGCTCAATGCAATTTGCCATGCAGGTCAAGATGACCGAACATCACAATAAGGAAGAAAGGTGATTTCAGTGACTTTTAATGTGGCACGGTTGGTTGTTGGTGACAGATTTGCTGGTCTGAGTATTTCAGAAACAGCTCATCTACTAGGATTTTCCTGCCCAGCCATCTCTAGGGTTTATAGTTGATAGAAAGGCAACAGCAACTCTAACAACCCCTTGCTGCAAACAAGGTATGAGGTAAAGTATCTCTGAATGCACAACACATCAAACCTTGAAGCAGATGGGCTACAACAGCAGCAGAAGACCACACCCCAACCCCTCCTGTCAGCTAAGAGCAGGAAACTGAGGCTCTAATTCACACGGGTTCACCAAATCTAGACAACTAAAGTTCAGAAAATATTGCCTGGTATAATGAGTCTCAATATCTGCTGCGACATTCAGATGGT